TCCTCACCTGCCCCTCCTCTGCCAGGCTCTCAGGTCGGTGTCCAGGATGTACACTAATAAAAGGGAAAGAGGAGGACTTCCAGGGACAAGAGCCCCTCCTGTTCCTTTCCAAAACGGGTTGGCGCCTGTTTTAGTCTATTTGGGCTGCTGTAACAAAATTCCACAGACAGAGTGGCTTATAAACAACAGAAACTATTCCTCACAATCCTGGAAGCTTGAGGGCCAAGATCAGGTTGCTAGCATGGTTGGGTTGTGGTGAGAAACCTCTTCTGAGTTGCAGACCACCAACTTCTCTTTGCATCCTCACATGGCAGAAAGAGGGCGAGCTACCTCTCTGGCTTCTTCTTATAAGGGTGCTAATCCCATTCAGGACCACTCCACCCTCATGACCTAAGCACCTCCCAAAGGCTCCACCTCCTGATACCATCCCATCGGGCATTAGGATTTCAACATAGAATCTGGGGAGACAAACATTCGGACCATAGCAGAGCCAGAGTTCCTGCCTCTTTCAGTTTCCCTCCAGCCTTCAGCCAGAAATCCTTGTCCCTCCCTCCCAATGTTGCCCTGAAGTCACAAGTATTTTCAGGATGACTGTGAGAACCAATGGGTATGAATGTCACTTCTGCTGACCTTAATGTTGAAAACACATTGCTCGTGTATAATATACGTAAATTAGTGCCCTAAACCCCTGCAGCCATGGTGTAACAGCATAGAGAAGAATATGCTCGATGATAATGTCGCCCTGCACATTTCTTCCTTTGGAGCAACTGTAATGGAGTTGTTCAGAGTAAGAGTTCTGAAGCTGGATAACTTACATCCTGTTTCTAACTCTTACTAGCTGAGTGATTTATCCTTTGTATGCTTCACATAATGATAAACTCCTAAGACTGTTGTAAGATTAAATAAGTGGATACATAGTGCTTAGAAATGTGCATAGCACAGATCTAGTGCTCAATAAATCCTAGCCATTACTCCAGTTATAGTTTCCTTCTTGATTTAATCACAACACGAATGGATCTCTCTTTAATTTTATCTAAAACATAGGAGACTTCTACATATGTCTTTCAGTAGCATTTTACACGTTGAGTAGTATTTATTCTTCTCTGTTGTTTAATTGCTGAAAACGTAAAGATGCTACGTATTAAGAAGTGTACCAAATTTCAATGGAGGAAGAAAGGCAGTCTCAAAGCATTTTTAGAACACAAATAAGCCATTTTATATAATTGCTTTGCAAGCATAATTTTTGGCAAAACTCTCCAATTCCTGGCCTTCATGTGAATAAAAGAACAGCAGCCTCTTTTGGACAGGCTGAGGCTGGGAATGCAAAGAATTAAGACAGGGACAAGACGTGTCGTCAACGCATTTATCTAGAGAACCATCTGAAGTGCCTACTGTGCAAACAATGATGAAAATATGAGATATAGTTCTAGCCTCCCTAACTGCTCCCCTTATAGAGGTTCCTAGATTTAGTGGATGAAGATGAGGCAGGATGACAAGAGGGGAGAGGAGGAAATTTTATCCTCAGAGGAAAGAGACTGTTTGGACTTACATTATTTCTCTAACTGAATCTCTCATCTTTGTTTCATAGGAGTCAGAAAGTTAATAAAACTTACTGGAATATGAAAAGGTTGTTAAATATTTATTGAAAATTTGAGTGTGATACTTAAAGGTACTTGTAGTCTTCGAGGTGCCTTAAAGGCAAAATGCTTTCATTCAAGGCGAAACCTTTTTCCGGAGCCTTGTTTGAGTTTGACACCCTAGCTGAGTGATATTTAAATAAAAGTAAGATAGAAAATGCCTCTTAGGAAAGAATGGCCTAGTTTCAGCATTTCTCCTTATATTAATTTAGAGGGCTCATTTTAACATGGCCCACAGGATAAAGTCTAAATTTCTCAGCTCCACAAGCTGACCTCAATCCTGTGTCTTCTTCTACTTCATCTCTCTAGTGGCTCTACCTCCATTACTTCTTTTCAGAAGTCAGTGAATCTACAAAGCACACTCATTCGTCCAAGTCTTTGCTCCTATTGTTTATTTGATTTTATTCCTATTGAAATATTCCACATCCTTCAAAGACTGGCCCTTTTGGATGATTCTCTCTGATTTCTCCAGATCTGGAATCATAGCTGCTTCTTTGTTCTCTCAGTCCTTTGTTTGTTCTTCGTTCACTGTCCTTAGATAATTCTGTCTACTGTTCAGCTAATTATCTGCATCGTTTTATCATCAAGAACAGCGAACTCTTTAGGGGAGAGTAAAATATTTCTCATTCATATTGGATACCGTACAATACCCTGTATATGCCAGAATTCAACAGGTACCTGTGGAATGAATGAACAACAAAGACCAAAAAAATTCTCAGAACTAGAGCATCCTTTCTCTCATTTCCCTTGTGTGCCATCCCATCATCTCATGTCCATTTGGACTGCCACCTTTGTGTCTTTGTGTTTCTTCTATGACCAGCTGATTATGGACACTCCTAGCTAAAACCCTTTAACACTCCTAACTGACCATAGAACAATAATTTAACCTTAGTGAAATAAAATCCAAACTTTATTCAGTGTCCTTTAAGACCTGACTTATGCCTCCAGCAAATCTCCTGTCACTCTTCTACTCAGACTTTGTTACAGCCATGCTGAATTTCTTTGCATCCCAGAAATGATCTTCCTACATGGGATGCTTTGTTCTTCCTTTCCCCTCCTCTCCATCTTCGACTGGCTGACTCCTCATCTACCAGATTCGACATAAGATGTTACCTCTTCCTGGAAATCATCTCTAGCTCCCTATACAATCTCCAGCCCCAGACCGAATTAAGCTTTCCCTTTTGTGATCTAGGAGATAAGAAATATCAGAAAGACTTGAGTCAAGAGGTGATTCCGCTAGTTACCAAGTACTGACTTTAGACCAGTACTTCTCAAGCTTTGCCGTGTATCGGAATCCCTGGAGAGTTTGTTAAATCACAGCTCACTGGGTATCATCGCCAGAGTTTCTGCTTCAGTAGTTCTGGGATGGGTCCCAAGAATTTGCATTTTGAGCAAGTTGCTGGGTGACACTGATGATGTTGTTCTGGGGATCACACTTTAAGAACCACTGCCTTAGACAATTTGTTTAACCTCTCTAAGCTTTAGATTTACCATCTGCAAAGTGAGGCTAAGAAGGATGTTTTAAGAATTAAAGATAATGTATGTAAAGTCTTTGACATTAATTCATACTCAATTAATGCCAGTTAATATTGATTTTACATTATCATTGCTTTCATTACACTGTATTAAATTGCAGACTGAACAGACCATTTGCCAAATACACTAGGAACCCCACAGAGAGCAGAGACTGTGTTGCTTTTATTATTGTTTTATCACAGGTGCCTTATGAAGTCCATTAGTAAGCACCAAATAAACGTATAATGGAATAAATTCAAAGTAAAAGCATGCAGTAAATATTTAATAAAATGAATTTAGTGCTTCTTTGTAGGTAGCCCCTACATAGAATGTTCCATCATTCCCTAGTTCAGCTTGCTATGTTTTTGGTTTTCTTGCGACTGTTTTTGCTGATTGGTTCCTAAATCACTTTTGGTTATGGTGAATCAGTTCCCACAGCTTTTGTTTCTAAGAATATTGTACAAGCAACATAGAGGGTGTCTTTCTGTAAAGAAGTAGAAGTAAATTACCACGTGGACTATTCATTTCACTGTAGTTTCCCTTTCACACTGAATGAAAGCAAAGGCAGCACTGTATTCCCCTGCCTTCTGTGCCTGAGCATATGCTTTCATGTAACACTGGATATGGGTTAGAAATTAACATGTAAAGAATTTAATTGGCAGTTCTTTGCAAATCCATGGTCTCGTCTTTTGAGAAGCTTTCCTGCTATTACTGTCAGTCCATACTCCCGTCCTCCTCTTTGACCTCAGAATCTGATATTTTATTCACTTATTAGTTCAACACATTTTTTTTCACCATCTTCCATGTGGCAAATAGTATTCTCATGGTGGTGATGCCATTCAGGCAAAGTCCCTGCTTCACAGAACCTGAAACATGGCATTTACCAACTTGTCGTGTGAGTCTTGGCTTCCTTGTCCCTCGTGCTAATTGTGAGCTTCCTGATGTTAGGCGCACTACCTAATTGATCTTTCAGTCTCCAGCTCAATATCTGATCTAAGATAGATATTCATACATATAGGTAATTATTTATACAGAGAGACATTCATTGGTGCTTAGAAATGGAACTGAGTGCCAGAGATCATATACTGTTGTTCTGTGACAAGATTTAGCACTCAGTAGATACGTATTCTTTGACCTACAAAGTGTTGTTTGTTTGAATTTCAGTTAAGGCCAACCAATAAAACCTGGGATTTACATAACAATCCAGATTTCCAGCTTCTCTTGAAACCCACATTCCTGTATTGCACCAATCAGCTGAAGCTAGTTCCCACTCCTCCTGCTCCTTTAGATGGAGCACAGCCTCTCCATTTCACGACAAACCCTACTATTCCCTATTGTATCACACGTGTGTGTATATGCATGTGTGTATCGTGTTTGCATGGATGTGTGGTGAATAAAGAATGAAGTTCTTCAAACTCTAAATAAATCCACTGAAAGTTTGTCTTTACAAATTTATAGCAATATAACTCCAACACTGGAAATAATAACTTATTCTTTTTTTCATTTAGTGATATGGAATGCTAACAAGGATTTGCTTTCATTTGGAATACATAGCATATTGAGTTATCAATCTAAATTTTGTCCAAATTGTTTTTCTGCATTTTCATAGGTTTTCTGTATTTGTCAAATTAATTAGGTAACTGCTAGCTACTCTTCTACTGATGTGCATTCCACTGCAAAGTAAAAATATATCTAAATTGATCTGATTTGGGTTTTTTCCCTCCTTTATGATTATTGAACTAAAACTTTTCATTTGCCTTGGTTTTGTCATATAAGATTAGGAAACAAACATGAAATTGAACTAAAATTATAGTTTAACAAGCTAAATATATTCATGCTTTGTTTCAGCTATCCTTAAAAAGAAGAGGAAGCAAAGATTTGCCAAAATCTGAAAAAAAGGCTCAGCAGACTCCCACAGAGGTATGTGCAAATAAAATTTCAACTAATATATCAAGCACTTGTTAAAGTATATAATAATAAGCTAGATCTATAAGCAAACATAATAGCCAGATACACACATGTGAAACAAAGTTAAATTATGCGTATCAATTAGGTAGCTGTAGATACAGATACTGGATGTATAAAGCACGCAGTATGTTTGCTTATAAAACTAACACTGACATCCCTATTATAATCGCTTTTACATTGTAAGCACACAGAAAAATGTCATTAGTACTTTATATGTTGCTATATTTGAGAACTGTACCCGTGGTGCTAATCTTGTTCCCTTATAATTAATAAGGTCAATAGAATGGCTGTTTCTATAATATTGAGGAGAGGAAAGAAAGGAGTGCTGTGGGAAGGGATGGCAGAGGGGAGAGAGAGGCTCGTGATGGCTTTGGAGAGACCTAGAACGAAGTAATTTTCTATACCAGTGACCAGGAAAGCAAAACCAAGGAAGCAAAGGAATAAAAATAAAACTTAAAAGATGTACTCAACATGGGCTTGTTAATCCTTAGACACAAAGCCACAGTATAAAGACAAGCCCTGCTTTCAGGGTGAGCAGAATGTGCTGATGGAGGCAATAAAGGAGATTTCAAAACAGAAAAGGAAATATTTGGGGGCAGAAGTGACATTATGGCTCTCCGAAAACACTTGCCTAAATACTGACTTTTAAATGTGTAAGTTGGAATCTATAGTACTATGGCATACTTTTTTCTATTCTGACAAGGTGTTTTCTCATTAATTTTAACTAAAGCAATATTTAAATATACAAAATTTGAAAAAGTTTTCTCAATCCTTTTTTTAAAAGCATAACATATTAAATGTTTATTTTCCCTTTCCTCTCTCTCCTTGCTCTGTTCTTGGTTAATTTTATTCCTGGTACTTGCACAAGAAAATTTACAGGCGAGAATCTCATACTAAGATCATTACTGGTTTTTTTTAACTTTTCTCTGCATTCCTTTAGTAAGTTCAAATATGTTTTGTCACACAGTTTTCCCACTGCCTTTGCCATAACTTTAGGTACCTCAGTCTCAATATTTTGCTGGGGGTCATTTCTCATGTGGCCACGAATCCTCTTCCTCACCTCATTTAGGGAGAAGATGATATATGCTCCCTTTTCTAAAATCTTATCAGCTTTCATCAGCAGTTTGTTTTTTTTAATTCACATTTGTCGTATTCTTATACTTCCCATGTTAAAGTTTATTTTATTCTCTTCAACAATATTCTGTAATCCAGGAAGTCTAAACTGTTTGTTCCTGGCTCTACAGACCCCACTCCATGTGCCCGTGGACACCTTTCAACAAAACACATCCACAGCTTTCACCAGTTCCTCAGTGGGACCTGGGATCTTACAACAGTCGAGGTATATCACAATCAGCCAGTTTTTATTTCATGAGCACAAAGGTGGTGGGAAATTTATAAGTATGCTACTGTGGCCTTTGAAGTCTCTGCTATCGTTTCCAATTCATTTATTTTCAGAGATTATTACCTTTCTTTTTCAAAATCCCACCCCAACAAATTGATTAGACCTGCCTCGGATGGGAGATCTCAATTACAGAATAGTCCATGGACGATTCTATTGCTCAGTCAAGGCTGAGGACCATTGATTCACATACTTAACATTACTGCAAGCATCCCCATTCTACTGTAATTCTTGTTTACATATTCATCTTCCGTACTTAGCAAGGGTGTATTGTCGACAGGGGCGTCTTATTCAGCTTTGACTCATCAGTATCTAGTGTCTGGCACTCTGCACATGCTTAATATGCAATTTTGAATACTCCCATGTCCCCCTTTTCTAAGTTGAGCCCTATGAAATTGCCAACATGCTGTTGAGTTTGACCTACAGAAATGGCAGTTTTATATGGCTCAACCTACTATTATTTGTATAGCTTTGCATTTCATTTTGTTCATTTGCCTCAACTTCTTTGATGTATTCCTTACATGCTCCTCCAGCAGCACAGTGACTTTATTGACTGAGAAGTGGTATTGCATAGCAACTAGGAACAGTAACTTTAGGCCAGGTTGCCTAGATGGAAATCTCTGCCATATACCAGCTGTCTTGCCTTAAACATGTTACTTATTCTTTCTATGCCTCTATTTCCTCATCTGTAAAATGGGTATCATAATAGAGAGTTGTACAGATTAAAATAATTAATATATGTAATTTATTAGAGTGGGATTTAGCTTCTAGTAGGGGTCAACACATCTGATGCCTTTTATTTCACCCGATTGTCCTACTATTCTCTCGTGCCTCTTTTCTAGAGGCAACACATGCAATGGAAAAAGTATGAGTTTTGGAAACTGTCTGAATACACATGTGCTCTGTCATTTATTAACTTGTGCTCTACCATGTTTAATAAACCTCTCTGAAGCTTAACTGCCTTATGTGTGAAGTAGACATAGCATCACCTTCCTCACGGGGCTGATGTGAGGATATAATGATAGAAGGAATATGATGTTCAGGCTCTGCACACTCATCAGACCTCAAACCTTCATACTAATTCTCACTAGTAGATGGGAAGACATGAGCCCCGTGCCCGGCTCTCCATCTCTTCCATCTCAGAAGCTCTGGGACGTATTTACTAAGCATCTCTGGCAAAAGCTCACCATAGTCCTCACCTCCACCACCAGTGGTTGCTACTTCTACCAGAATTTATCTGAAGCACAGCTGACTCAGTGCTGGGAAAGACAGGCACTTCTAGTCCCATTTTTAAAATGAGGAAAACAAAGTCGACAGAAGTTACATGATTGACCCAAAGTACATACTTAAAAGAGAATTTTAGGAAATTGTCCTTGGGAAATATGCCCTTGAAAACAATCATATGCTTTTATATTAGCTCTCAGAGAAAGAGTTGAGTTCCATTTTTCTGTTTGTACTTTTCAACTTAGTTGATGATTAGAATTTGAAGGTTGTCCTAGGAATATGTGAGAAGAACTTCCATAGGGTCCATGCCATCATCCTTTTATGAGGTAGAACCAACTCTATCCATTTCAGACTGATGGGAGTACATCATATTTTAAAAGGGATCTAGATGGAACACCTACCAGTTTCTCCTTGGATGGGCCATTCCGGTGTTAAACTCTCCCTACTTTAAAGGCCTTTAAAAACAATTCTCCCTTGAATAAAGAGGGAGGACAGATTACTTTCCATATGGCAGGGTGCTCATGAGCCTAAACCTTAGTGTCAGACAGAACTGAATTCAAATTTCACCTTTGTCCTTTGCCACTTATTAGCCGGGTAACCTTGAAGAAGTTATTGAACATCTTTGAACCAGGTATTTTGATACCTACTCATAAGTTTACTCGGAACATTAAATTAGGTCATATGTATAAAGAACTTTACAGAATTGGCTGAGAGTCAGTGCTCAATAAACGGCAGTGAGTGCACATTAACCATGTGTTCCTTCCAGGAAATGTTTCATATTTATCACAGTCAAGGGAATTCAACCCATACAAAAAAACAAAACAAGCAAAATTAACACTGTCGAAATGACAGCCAAACAGTTGTGCGCAGTTACAACATATAATAATCTCTGAATAGTGATGGCCACATTTTTTCTCTTTATATTCCCTTGTCTTTTTGTTTCCAAGATGTACTATTGTCCTAATCTCTTATTTGCCAAAGAATTTAAATGATTTGGAAAAAATATACAGCATCTACTTCTCTCTTTGTGTCTCTCACTAAATCCTAAAAACAAGAAAAAGGAATTATTGTTTTGCAGGTGTCCTTTTTTGGTTGTTTTCTTGATTTACATACAAATGACCTCCTACCCTCTTCCGCTCTTTTCCCAAATGAGGAGGACAATGAAGACCTGAAATGCCAGCTGCAGTTCGTGAAGGAAGAAGCTGCTTTGATGAGAAAGAAAATGGCCAAGATTGATAAAGAAAAGGACAGATTCGAACACGAGCTGCAGAAGTACAGATCCTTTTACGGGGATCTGGACAGTCCTTTGCCCAAAGGAGAAGCCGGGGGGCCCCCCAGCACCAGGGAGGCAGAACTCAAGCTCAGGCTGAGGCTGGTGGAGGAGGAAGCCAACATCCTGGGCAGGAAAATCGTCGAACTGGAGGTGGAGAACAGGGGCCTGAAGGCGGAACTGGACGACCTGAGGGGCGATGACTTCAACGGCTCGGCCAACCCGCTCATGAGGGAGCAGAGCGAATCCCTCTCGGAGCTGCGGCAGCACCTGCAGCTGGTGGAAGACGAGACGGAGCTGCTGCGGAGGAACGTGGCCGACCTGGAGGAGCAGAACAAGCGCATCACGGCGGAGCTCAACAAGTACAAGTACAAGTCCGGCGGCCACGAGAGTGCGCGGCACCACGACAGCGCCAAGACCGAGGCCCTGCAGGAGGAGCTGAAGGCGGCGCGCCTGCAGATCAACGAGCTCAGCGGCAAGGTCATGCAGCTGCAGTACGAGAACCGCGTGCTCATGTCCAACATGCAGCGCTACGACCTGGCCTCGCACCTGGGTATCCGCGGCAGCCCCCGCGACAGCGACGCCGAGAGCGACGCGGGCAAGAAGGAGAGCGACGACGACTCCCGGCCGCCGCACCGCAAGCGCGAAGGGCCCATCGGCGGCGAGAGCGACTCGGAGGAGGTGCGCAACATCCGCTGCCTCACGCCCACCCGCTCCTTCTACCCCGCGCCCGGGCCCTGGCCCAAGAGCTTCTCCGACCGGCAGCAGATGAAGGACATCCGCTCGGAGGCCGAGCGCCTGGGCAAGACCATCGACCGGCTCATCGCCGACACGAGCACCATCATCACCGAGGCGCGCATCTACGTGGCCAACGGGGACCTGTTCGGACTGATGGACGAGGAGGACGATGGCAGCCGCATCCGCGAGCACGAGCTGCTCTACCGCATCAACGCACAGATGAAGGCCTTCCGCAAGGAGCTGCAGACCTTTATCGACCGCCTCGAGGTGCCCAAGTCCGCGGACGACCGCGGCGCCGAGGAGCCCATATCCGTGAGTCAGGTACAGTTCTGCCTATTGCGAGCCACGGCGATGGCGAGTCTGGTCCGCGGAGCCGCGGTCCCCAGTGGGGCGTCTCCGCGCACCGACCTCCACGCCCCGCTTTAGGGAAGTCCCGGCTCAGAGCCGCTCTGGGCTTGGACAGCGCTCCTCTTCTTTCACACTGTCCTTCAGGTCTGAGGTTTCCGTACTCCAGTCGCAGTCGCTCAGTATTTCACCTCGTTCCGTTTAAAAGGGAAATTTAACCCCTTCCTCCCCCAGTTTTTGTGTAAAGATGAAAGGATTTTTTAGATATCATTATTATTATTATTACTACTACTGAAGGTCAACATTTTTATTATTACTCTACTGACTCCAATAGATCGAGCTACAAGAAGATCCCGAATAGGAATCTTCAGTTGTTGGTTTGCGGTTTTCGAGCCAAGATCCAAATTGAGTTTAAGTAATTTTTTTTTAAATTACCAAATAAGCAGGATTGATGCATAACTATTGGTAAATGTGGAACCCAGTGGTAAAGAGAGCTGGTGCTGTGTCTAGAGCCCTCCCAAAACAACAGATGGAAGCCGCTCCTTTACCACAAGTCGAAGTAACATGATCGTTATTTCTGGAAAAAGTCACAGTCAGCTGTGTAGTGGGAAATCTCAGGACTGGGGAAGGAGTGTTACACCTCAGCTTTAAGGCAACACTAATTCAGAGACTAGTAATAACCATTCCCGGACAGGGAAACCAGCATTTTCCTTCATCCTGATTTGTAGAGGCACACGTGATGAATTGGACTGAGCTGCTCTAGCCAGGTATGGTGGCCAAAGACCAATGCATTGTGTCAGTTAATCACGTAAGAGAGAATTTATAAAACAAAACAGGCAGCGCTACCCGCTCTGGCAAGCCTGGCGTCCTGTATCTCTCGGAGAACCCACAGAAGGACAACAGCATGCATGGCTTTTAAGACACACAAGTCTAAAGATCAGTTTATATACAGAAGCATGACATTAGATTAACTGCCTTTTAGTCACAGCTAGAAAAATTTCAACCCTATCGCTTATTTATCTTGCATGTTGCTCTGCTTTGCTTTGGGGGAAAAAAAAGATTTGTGATAAAACTCGTTGGATTTTGAAAGGTTAAGGCTCTTTTTTCTGTTTATTATATAAAACAATTGGTTTTTAGTTTTCTTCTTGAATATTTTTGAGTACTTTGAGCATGTCGTTTTTCAATTATATTCTCAGGGGAAAAAATAGACACCAGAGGGAGAGAGAGCACTGTGTAATAGGTTTCAGATTTTGTAAATAGAGGCTTAAGGAGGGTTCTTCTTTATCTTAAGTTGAATAAATGCTTAGATTAGTTGATATAAATCTGTTTTTTAAATTATTATTAATTAACTTTTCTCTTTGTGTTTGCATTTACCTTCCCAGATGTTCCAGCCTATCATTTTACTTATTCTCATTCTTGTATTATTTTCATCACTTTCTTACACAACAATATTTAAACTTGTCTTCCTCTTTACACTGTTTTTTGTACTGTAAATCTTTCCTCATTTACCATTCATTGTAGTATTTTCAGTTTGTTTGTTTTGTTCACCCTTCAAGACAAGAAGTAAAAGAAATATTATTTCTGTAGTAACCAATGCTATAAAAACACTGAAGACTGCTTGTTTCTTTAAAAAGACACATCTTGCCACTACCAAATTCAATAAGAAGGCCACGCACTAAAATATTTCAGGTAAGGAAGTAAGTGTGACTTTTTTTTAATAAATCATTTTAATTTTGCTTCTTTCTTTTATGTCTTGATTTGTACTCTTTGATAAATAATTGCAAGAGTGGCTGTAAAAATTGAGAATCTCTCAGTTTTTTCTCATTTGTTGACTGGCATGATAATTCAAAAGCTGGACATTTACAAGTTGATCACATTTCAAAAAAATAAAGAGATTTATAAACTACCTTTGCTAGGTTAAACTAGACTAACAAGATAATGTTGATATTCAATAAATTTCAATGAAAATTATGATGAACGAATGAAATACAACCATCGTGGAAACTAAATAATTTGTTGCAATGCTGATGGTGTTCTGTCTAAAAAGATGTGTGTGGAAGCATGAGAGTGGATTAGGCCTTAGTTTACTGAGAAAATAATTATCCCCATCCTACTGCATTAGATCAGCTTCCAACCAAACCAGCCATTTCTGCATTTACCTATTAAACTTGGAGTTCTGTCCTCTATAATACATTAGCACACAGAACTGCCTCCAGAGCAAGAAATATGCAAGAAATACAGTATGTGAAATATTTTGAGTAGGGAAAGAAATAGACATTCTCTAGAATTTCATTAAATCAAAATCCAAGGCCAGTAGCATAGTTCCAGTGGGAGTTGCTCTCTAAACATAAACTTACTTTGATGAGCTTGAACATCCCCCTTTCTTCTCCTACCTAAAGTGGCCTGGATAGGTTCCATTTAGCCAAAAGGCTTTATTCCATCCGTCTTGTTGGCAGTTTACCCCATGGAAAGCTGAAACGCACCACAGCCCCCAAGATTCAGGGGCACCAGGACCCATTGAAGTCTTGTACTTGGAAATATTTGCAGGATGGTTGGTGGATATGAAAATCTGTTGGAAAGTGAAGTATCTTGCCCCTCCAGGGTAAGAATAATATGTGGAAAATCTTTGCTTTGTTACACAAGTTGGTACTAGTAACAATCTGTTGAATCCTCATGCTCTAGTATATTCATTTCCCTTTGAGGATTAATTTTTAAAAAATTCACAATAGTTGAAAATTCAGTTTAAAATGACTGCTCTTGATCCCCATGTTTTTAAATTTCTTTTGGGTTTTTATTCAGTTTTGTTTTGGGGGGAGGAGAGACCTGGAGTGAGGAGAGGTTAACCAACAGTTGGAACCTGTTACTGCATACCTTTGGCTTTTCGTCTTAGAGATTCAGAAGGCTAGGTAGAACTTCATGACAAAAAAGAATGAAATAACATAAGTGCTATATTTAATCAATTATTCAAGTGTTTACTTTTAAAAAATTTCATCTCAGGGAAGGCAACCACTTTAAAAATCAAAATTTGCCTGTTAGATCTTTGATAAGCTTCCAGACCACCATCTTAGAGCAACTGCTTTGGCAAATGGAACTGAAACTAAATGTGTGAAATTTATCTGAAATGTTTATTGCCTTTGGAGCCACATACACCCGGCTCAGCAGTGATTCTCAGCTACCTCTGGAGCATTTGGTAGTTTATGGAGGCATTCTGGGTTGTCACAATGACTGGGAACCTCTCTTGGCAGTTAGGGGAAAGAGGTCACAATTTCAAGTAATTGTCCTGCTCAAATTGCTAAGATTGTCCCTGTGGGAAAGTGTGGTTGAATTATCTAAAATATGTATACCCGGCCTGTACCAACGTTACGGTGAACTACACTATACTGGCTATATAGAATCATTCGTTGCCTAGGTTTGGGTAGAGCTTAAAGTTCCAGCCATTCAGTGGATGTCCACATCCTCTCTAGAGCATTTCCACCTTTGTCATACGGCCTTTGCCAGAAGACCCATAATGACAAAGCCGTTCTATTTTCACACCTGTGATAGTGTTAGAAAACTCTCCTTTCATTAATACAGGTTCTTGAAACCAACAAAATCACAGAAGACAAATAGGAATAGTACATGACAGAAGGGAGAACCAACACGAATATTGTGTGTGTACAAGGTCACGCACACACCTGGAGATACAGGCACATGTGCACAGTGAATTAAAGCCTCAGGATGATCCCACACACACCCTGACAACCCACCACTTTGTCATCATACAGTTATCTCTGCCACGAAGCTTCCTCATGTTGATCTGGAGAGGATATGGTATCCCACAAACCCACCAGCAATGATGGATGCCAACTGACTCTACCCTGCAAACCCAGATGAGAAAGCATACACAAGAGATGTGAGAATGGAGCAAAAAGATAGAGCACGGCTCCTTTGTGTCTTTAGCAAACATTCTGAAGTGTTGACTATGTTAGGTATAGAGAAAGTGAGGTTCAGTTCCTACTCTTTTAGAGCTTTCAGTTGATTAACCAGGACAAACATGTAAACAGCCAACTCGAACGTATATTTTTATTGAAGTGAAAAAAAAGGCTTGTGGTTGCAATTTATTATTTATTGGACACCTGATAGTGTGTTAGGTTTCCCTAAGAAAACATAATAAAATTCCTAGGCATTCTTGGATGGAACAATATCATAAATAACTGCAGGGGGTGGGGTGATATATACCTCAATGATATCCTGTGACCTGAGTAAGAAAGGAGAAACTAACCAAGGGAGGTCTGGGCTCCCAAAACACCAGTCTCATCCTCAGATCTCTTGTTAGGAATTAAAGTCATCTGGCAATAGGAGTGTTAATCTCACGTATGAACTCCGAAGGCAATGACTTTATAGAAGAGTTCCGTGAGAATCTTGAGCTCCATCCAGGCCCTCCATATACGGAACCCCAGTAAGATATTGGGGAGAGGAAATAGGACTGACTTAGCTACTGCTCACGGATTCTGGAGCATTTGGGCTCGTTCTGACAACTCCTCTGAAGTTAGTGAGGCAACTTTGCTGTATATTCGAACTCCAGGGAGGCTTTTTCCAACTCTGCCCTGCCCACTGCATAGCCAACTTCCCAGTTTGTGCCTGTGTGAATGCAAACACCTCTACCACACTGTGGTGTGTGATGAGAGATGCATCCAGCATCGGGGAATTCAGACCTGCCTCTATCTCAAGGGACTGCTGGGGGCCAGTAGTCGGCAGGTGATCTCAGCAAACTGCCAGCAGGCACCAAGTGATCTTGTCCCTTGGCTTCTTCCTGGAACTTCAAGCTATTCTGTGGGCATCCAGCATCTAGGGAGCATCTCTCCCTTACACTACAGGACACAAACTTGGTAAGAGAAGTTAGCAAATCTGGTGCCCAAGACCTCAGAAAGAGAATCCCCAGCATCTGCTTCCCCTGCCCTTTGATCCTGTTACTCGCATTATCTTTATTGTATAAAGCTAGTTCTAAAAGAGGAACACTCAGGCTTCTTTGTTCATCGAGAGAACAAAGTCCCCCAAGTGTTGAAACAAAGAGACTTCTCCTATTTGTACCTTTGGAGCTGTGCTATTTAAACATCATGCTGAAAATAAATTCAAACAAACAAACCTTATTGTAGAAAATTCCATTGCATGCACATTCTTGGGAGTAGGAAGAAGTGTCTTTGGTAATTTGGCCTAGATTCAAGAAAAAAGGAATTCTGTTGGCTATTTTTAAAGCATAATTGAGTCAAACTCATAAAACAAAAGAAAATTCAGCACAGAGCCTGGAATGTGTATTGGCCTGTGTTCCCCAACCCGCACTTCAGTTCGTGTGGTAGAGTGGGATACAGTTATGTAAGCAGCTGCCAGGGAAGTCTGGAATGTCACTTTGGTAGCTAAGCCTTAACTGCAAATATTCACACAGTGTTTGTAGCTATAGTCTTATAGAATTACAGCCAAGTTTTATCTGGTAGAGTTGTGCTTTGGGTCAGATGCCCTAATTGTATGTCAGGATTGAAGAGAGAAAGCAGTGAAGGATAACATCAGAAAGTGAGAAAAGTTGACTCTTTCTTAATCTACAGGGATTTGGTCCAGTTCAAAAACAATATTCGAGAAGACTCTACTGCTTAAACCCTGGTTCTGAACCAGTTAGATGTAATGAAAGATAGTTTTGCTTCTATTTTGTAATTTTGATCTAGCTTTTGATAGGTGAAGTGATTGCAGAACCATTTTGATGAAACTAACATTTTATGAGTGGGTCCTGGATTCCCAACAGCCTACTTGTGGAATTTCAGAGGGAAACTCATTCAGAGTAAGAAGACTTTATGGCCCGGATATGGCAGGAAAACCTTTATAGTAACAGTAATAGATGTGTTAACGTACTAAATGCTTCTAAACGGTACTGTTGTGTTGAGCAGTTGGGAGAAGAAGCAGCGGTGGTAGCTATTTTAAATGTTGGCCATTCTAAAGTGTGTGCAAAATCATAGAATCTCTGGGGCCTGCCTGGTGGCCTAGTGGTTAGGCAGCCCAGGGTTTGCAGGTTCGGATCCCGGGTGCGGATCTACACACCACTCATCAGGCCATGCTGTGGTGGCATCCCACATACAAAAATAGAGGAATATTGGCATGGATGTTAGCTCAGTGACACTCTTCCTCAAGCAAAAAGAGGAAGATTGGCAACGGGTGATGCTTCAGTGCCAATCTTCCTCACCAAAAAAAAAAAAAAAAAAAAAAACCAAAGACTCTCTAAAAGTCCTCTCCCTGTAACTTAATAAATACATTTTAGTCCATGCCTTCTCTGCTTAGGGACTCACTCACTCTAAACTGCTCACTCCCAGTTTTAAAATAACACTGTGGCTGCCCTAGTGAAGTTGTGGGTAATTTTTTTAACATTTCCAGGAACAACTTTCAAGTAGAGTAGTGTTATAACTTCACTTGATCAGAGTCTAGGAGCAGCCTCTTAAAAATAAGAAGAAACTTCAGAAATCTCCACCTTTCACGGCCCACTGTTAAGCCAGGC